TTGGTTTACATTTTGGTACATACAGATTTATCATTAGTTGAATTAAAATTATGATTTTACTTGAACAGAGTATTTTATTTGAGAATTTTAGAATGATTAAGAAAGAATGTTTCATACTACTTTAAGGTTTTACTTCAAGATAATATGACTATGTTACATCTTGATCTTAAGGCGTGACAAAGATACTATAAAAAACCAATCAATTTTCTATATAAAGTAGCATCAACTAAACATGTTCCGTCATTAAGTTTTAATTGAGTACTAGAAACCATTAGTGTAACAATATTCTTAGCATTATACATGTCAAACTTAACAAGAAGGTCTTGAATGTACTTATTTTAACACAAAAATAAGCCTGATAAAGTAGGAATAACCTCAACTCCTAAGAAAAAATTCAAATTACCAAGATTTTTGAAAGAGAATATTTGAGAAAGGTTAGGTACAAACCCCTCTAAAGCTTGTTGATTATTGCCTATGACTATAAAGTCATCAACATAGACTAAGAAATAGATCAAATTTGAAGTATAGGCATAGATAAATAAAGATGCATCAGAAGTGGAGTTTGAAAAGCCATAAGATAAAAGAAAAATACTCAGTTCTTGATACCATGCCTTTGGAGCTTGTTTAAAACCATAAATTGCCTTATGTAACTTGCACACATGAATAGGGTCATCTTTGTTAACAATGCTGATAGTTTAAGACAAATAGATTCATCTTGTAATGTACCTTATAAAAAGGTATTATTAACATCTAATTGTTTCAAAGGCTAGCCAAAAGATAAGGCAATACAAAATACAATTAATATTGTTGTAGGCATAATCACTAAACTAAATGTTTCAGTAAAGTCTAAACTTGACTATTGGTGAAACCCTTTAACTACCAATCGAGCTTTAAATCTATTAATAGTGCCATCGGCCTTTTGCTTGACACTATATTCACATTTGTTTTCTGTAATGTTTCGACAAGAACTTGGTAGAACTAAGGTTCTAGTACCATTTGTAACCAAAGCATTAAACTCACTTGCCATAGCTTATCTTTATTTAAGTATTTTGATTGCTTGAGTCGCATTAGTAGGTTTAATGGTAGGTGGTAAAGAGTGTTTGGACACTATGTAAGCTTTTTTTGGGTTAAAAATGTTGTGCAGGAAGAGGGATGAGTATCATTACTTGACGAAGCATCTATCACAGAGGCTACATTACTTGATGAGCAGGGTACAGCAAAAACAACATTAAAACCTGAATATTTCAAGCAAATGATAATAGTATTTGGTGGATTTATAACACTTAAAGATAGAGTATGAGTTTGGCTAACCTTTAACAAGTTGAAATTCGTTTTTCAAAAGGAAAAGAATTCTTAATGAACTTAACACGTCTAGAGATAATTAAACACTTTATTGGTGGATGGTTCTAAATATTTATAAGCAGTCTAATTTGTTAAGTAACCAAGAAATACACACGGTTGGAATTTAAATTGTGATTTATGGTCTATGTATGGTTTAAGCCAAAAATAACATAAGTAGCCAAAAACCTTTAATTTGGAGTAATTTGGTGTGGTTGAAATAAAATTTCATGAAGTAACTTTTGTTTTAAATTTGGAGTAAGCATTCGATTTATGAAATACATAGCAGCTTAAGAAACATAGCACCAGAATTTTCGAGGCATGGAAGCTTGACGGAGAAGAATTAGACTAATTTCAACAGTGTGCGTATGTTTCCTTTCAAAGACACCATGTTCATGTGTGTGAGGTGGGGTTTGGAGATGTTTAATGCCATATGCAGCAAGTAAATGTAACAAGGCTAGGTACTTACCTCCGTTATCAGAGATGCAAACACAATTTGTATGTTAAGTTGTTACTCAAAAAATGCTTTAAATGTTGAAAAAATATGAGACCCATCTGATTTATTTCGAATGGGAAAAATCCAAGTGAATTTGGAAAAATGATCAACAAAAATGATGTAGTAAAAATAACCATCAACAGGTTAAATCCTTGAAGGACCTCAAAAAATCAGTATGTAAAAGCTCTAGAGGTTTAAAACTGTACATACTTGAACTATGAAAATGCAGTTTATGACTTTTGTTACAAGACCAAGAATTACAATCTAAAAATTTATTTAAGCAATAATAATCTAATGTAAAAGGTTTAAGCATAAAATTGAGAGTTCTTGAAGATGCATGACCTAAGCACTTGTTCCAAGTATCAGTAGTAAGTTTGGAACTAAAAAATATTAAAGAATTATTTAGTGTAGCTGAAATGGAAGAATTGTTTAATACAGGAAGTTCATAAACATCATTTCTGTTATGCCCTCTCACCGGTGGTGCCCCCCTGATGAGATTTTTCACAAGCAAATGATATGAAAAAAAATTCAATAGATACATGGTTAATTTTACAAAATTTGGAAACAAATTACATGGTTAATTTTGCAAAATTTGGAAACAAAAATTAAATCTCTTTGCATATCAAGAACATGTAGAACATTAGAAAGATGTAAAGGTTTTTGTGCTGTGGTGATAATGGCAAAACCAGTGTATTCAATTTACAAACTTGAACCATCTTCTACTAATATCTCATGCTGGCCACCATAATCTGAATACATAGACAGGTTGTTGAGATTGGTAGTAACATGGTGAGAAGCTCTTGAACCTACCACTTAATTTTGGTTGTTTGTGGATTTTGTTGTTTGGACAAAGTTGGCAACTGGATCCTATATGGCTAAAATTTTGTATTGGTGATATGTCTTGGCACTGTGACTAATTCTAGCACACACTTAACAGATTGATTTGTTGTTCCCATATTCAAAGTTATACAAATTAGGCCTTCTTTTTTTAGAATAAGAAGAATTTCAAACCTGATGACTATTAAACACGTTACCTCTAAAATTATTACCATTCTGATAATCATAGCTCTTGCCATTACATTGCCATGTTTACTGTAATGATAGGTGCAGTCAGTGATTCTTCTTGCTTGATTGCTACTTCGAAATCAGTTCGCTTATCTTGTAGTTCCTCTAAAGAAATTACACTCTCTGTTGCTCTTATGGCATTTGACATTTCTTTGAATTCTGAACCAAGACTATTTAAACTAGAAATGATCAACTCATTTTTAGCTATTAAAGCTTGTGTCACGTTTTCAATTTCACATTAGAAAAATGTATAGATATGTTATGATATATATGTACAGATTTAAACCTAAATTTATGAGGTACTTTTTATGATACAAAATCGTGAGATCATTGGATCAAAGCCGACAATATCTCGTAAGTTTGGTACGAGTCTCTATAAATGGTATCAAAGTGGTCACCAATCAACAAGAGCTAAATGCTACATCATGTAAGTCACTAAATGCTACACGGTGAGATCGTAGGAGTCACTAAGTGCTACACGATATGAGCCACCTCTAAAATTCCAACATCTATATGATCTTGGTCCTGTAGTTAAATTCAACTTGACAAGGATGTTAAGCTTTAAGGAGGAGAGATTATGATGCCCTCAATCCCACATTAAAAGAATGTGAGGATATGTATGATATATGTATAAAGACTTAAACCTAAACTTGTGAGACTCTTTTTGTAAGATAATACTGTAAAAATTTGAAGTCAAAACAAACAACACCTCTCAAATTGAGTGCAAGTCTCCACAGCTTGTGCTATCTCATCTGCTATTTTCTTCACGGATTGTATGTACTCAGCTGTAGGTTTCTTCACGGATTGTATGTACTCAGCTACAGGTATGTTCCTTTATGTCGATAGGGTTATCTTCTTCTTGAAAGACATCACTCTCGATTTGGTTTTGCTTGCAATGAATGTTGTAAGCTTAGTCATTGCTTTTTGGGAAGACTTTGAAGTGACTATCATTAGATGATCGTTTCAGAAATTGATGTAACAACTGCATGCAGTATTAACTTTCCTATCATATCCATTTTATGAATTCTTAGTTCAGAATGGTGGTATCTTGACCAAAAATATATTTTGTAAAGAGATGCTGCCATCAATGTAGCCAATAAGGTCGAGACCAATTAAAAAAGTGTGAAGTTGGATTTGCCAAGAAGGAAAATTGCCAAATGTTAATTTTAAAGGTAACTATGTTGAAAGGTTAATTTGGAAGACATCAGAAATGGTTTTGGGATTAACTGATGTAAGGCTTGATGGTATGCGTGTGGCTGAAAAAGCTAAGATGGCGGACGACATTGGATCTTGTAACTGTTAGGCTTTAAAGTGCTCTGATATCATATAAAAGAGTGAAGAATAGCTGAGAGGAAACTTATTTAATTATTATGAAAAACATTGCACATATACACCAGCTAAGTGATAAGCTTAAAACTTATCCTATTTATTGAAGTTTAAAAGTTCAATCATAGTCTGAAGTAACATTTAAAATCACAGCTAGTAAATTTGAAAATTAATTATAGGTAAAGTTTTGATCTGTCAAAATCTCGATTGTCTGAGCGTTGGTGGAAACCAACTTCTCATCCTATGCTTGCTGCTTTACCGTCGTTACATTCTGCTGCTCATGTCAAGTTGCCTTAATACACATTACACAAGCTCCGTTAAAATATTTACTTTATACTACATTCTCTTAACTATTTGCAAAATTTGTTCCCTTAGGATTTTACTAGCTGCAAAAACACTAGTCTACCACCCTTGAAAACTAAAACGATTCCTCCATCGAGCAATCCATTTTGAATTCGTTCCTAATATCCTGTCATTTCCCACTTCAATCCAAAACGATTGCGACAGCTGCAGTTATATACTTGATTGCCAAGCTAAATCCTTCAACCGGAACTAAAGGATAGTGCCAGGAGTCTAGGACCAAATTGAAGTGCACTTATACCTTTCAAGTTGTATGATCAAATAATGATCTTCCACATTCAGCAAGAACTATTTCAGCTGCAGTGGGAGTTAAAGAAAGACCTTCATACAGAGAATGTCACAAGTTAAAAGCCATACTATCTGGCACATAAAGCAAAAATCAATTCATGCCAAAATTTTAAAACCCCAAAACAATAATTGTTTCCATAGATCGTTTGCATATAATAACAAATATTTGAACCGAGCTATAACTTCAAGTCAAGCTACCTGCCTGATAATGCTATTTTCCGGATCGGGTCAACTAAATTATGCTGGAATAGAGCTAGCAAAAGTATTTATAGATACACGTCCACCAGGGAAACAATTGCAAATCAGTTTTCAATATTACTGGAAATGCTATAACAGAAAAACGAAAGAAAGAAACTAATCTTACACTATTAAAGTTGACCTACAAGAGACAACAAATCGAGATAGCTACCTTATTCTTGATGTCAAACGGTATAGATAAGGATCTTTATGATATCGATATGCAAGGGTGGTTACAGCTAGTCAGTCTAAATCAGCTCGTTCACAGACTAGCCTTCACGATTACCAATAACAAATGAAACCTTCTCCCTAAGTTTGTCAATAATCTGCAAGAACAAGTCAAGTAGTAAAGGTAAATAAAGTAGTGGCATTACAGACTAAGTTCCATCAAATCACTTCTGAATTTGGTAGTACGCACCGAGGTAGAGGCCTTTGCCCATGTCTGAACGGAGGCACCAGCATTTTTAAGGTGAGAACAAACAGAGGGATTAAAATTTAAAAAATATGCAGAATTTTCTGTTGCTTCAGCAACCCAGAGATGATTCATTTGATCCTTTGATTTCTTGATAAGGTTACAGAAGCCCACCTGAAAGGATGATTTGTTATTAGAATCACTCCTTAAATTTAAAAAAAAAAATAGAAAAGAAAAGAAAAACGACTTCTTTATGGTCTTTAAACAAGGAGAGTTGGTGATATCATATGAGAAGGAATCACTAAAGAATTAAGCTATGATTAGCAGAAACTGTGATTTTGTTGCAGAGAAAGTCAACAATGCAGGATTCACTAAAGAATTAAGCACGTTGACTTAACATCTGTACTACGGGTGAAAAACCTACAACGTTTAGATTTTGTTGCAGAGAAAGTCAACAATGCCTGATATACTGACTTATATAGTAATGCAGCAGTCATTAGAATAATCGATTAGTTACTTAGACTCGATGCTATGGCTCAATAATTAAGTTGGACAAGTACTTACCTTATAACCTTAGTTCACTTGAAGTTCTCAGCGTGATAGACAAATCACTATCAAAATATTTATCCATTCCCTAACTGGTTAAAATGGTCCTTATATATCACTGGGTATATCCATAACCAAGAATAATAACATGTCTCGCCTAACAGAATGTTCAAAATCTTATCACTTTCGAAAGCCAATCCCATTCTGGAGTAAAAACAAAAAAGAAACTCTAGAACTCACCATGGATCCCACTAGGTTAGAGTTGATTGGTGCAAATGTGTTCTCATCAATGCATGGTGAGCAAAAGCTAATGGCAAGTAAAGAATCTGATGATCCTTCTAACACTAAATCAGAAATCGAATCATCTGTCACAAACACCCACTGTTTCTTTTGATGAGCCGAAGTATAAACTTCTCCCACGTACACAACATATGCAGCAATGTCAAACTCACTGAAAACCCAAAAGAAAACATGAGTGAGGAAACCAAGATTTTCACGAAAAAAAAAAAAAAGGCTTGGGATTAGCATGTAAAGGTAAAGGAGAGAGATTCACCTGGAAAGAGGAATTTCACCTAAATTTGACAATTTGATTGACTTTCGCGGACTGAAAAATGGCCTGTAGAGGACAAGCATGAGCTGGTAGCCTGGAACCAACTTATGATAACAGAGAAAACACAGATTAACACATACTCGAAGCATTCCATGGACAGGGGAGGTAAGGGCTGCCAGTTGATGGCGGATCCTCGGGCTTGTAAATAAAGGGTTTCTGAATCTGAGTTCATTGGTATAAGCCCAGCAACGACATAAGCCTGCCCCTCGACCAACTCAGTTTTCTGTTTCAGTCATATTTATCTTTATGATCAATAATTAAATAAATTAAGTTTTCGTATAAAGCTCAAAATTACACCCTGCCCAACTGAAGGATTTACAAGGACAAATTGTATAGCATATGCTAGTAAGGGCAGACACTGAGAAAAGTGCACATGCACAAGGAGATGAAGAAGCTAATCGAAACAAGAGTAGAGCACGATAACACTCAGATTCACCTGCTTTTCTGTTGGATTCCAAATGGTTATTATGCCTTCTTTAGGTCTTCTCTTTCCATTATAATTCCTAGTAGTTAATCCAACAACTCTCACCCTAGTGAATGGGATAACATCTCGCTCATTTAAGCCGGCCTGTGCTAGAGCTTTCTCGATTGATTTCTCCATCTCTAACTGCCTGGTTGCCTACAGTTCTCATTTGCATAGTTAATATTACATTCTAATTTAGATTTGTCTTTCAAGCAAAGTAGCTGAAATGCACCTCAAGTTTTGATTTATATGCAGCAAAGGAAGTTAGTTGCTCTGGGCTCATCTCTGCCATTAAGACTTCTGGTTCGGCAGCTGTCTCAAGAATTTTTAAGATTTTCGCTCCTTCACTCTCACTGTCATTATAGATATGACAACTGTTGATCCCTCTTTGATACTCAGATATAACATGATCCACAACAACCGAGCACCTGCTGCAGAAAAGATCAAGTATGAAAAGCCTAATATATTATGTACTCCCAATTAAAAAGCCATTTAAAGCCTAACTTCAAAGATTTTCCAGTTAGAATATCGCCAACTGAATGTTTAAGGTTGTTGTTAAGAAGAATCAAACCGGTAACATTAACCAGTTGATATTCTTTAGAGCACACCATAGTCCGTTATGCAACAAGCATTGATAGAATGAGTATAACCAAGAGTCTAGAAAACCCATTTCCTGGAGAATGAAAAATTATGAAGTTGAAAAGGCACTATAACCCTTTCTTATAAAGACAGTTTTCATCAAGGAAGCAAGACTAGGTCTAATAGAAAGAAGATAACAGCATATTAGTTGGTAAAAGGACAAAAGGCTGAAGTTCATCACCCAAAAGCTAGCAAAAGGCTGACTGATGAATGTTATGTGCATGCCCTGATAAAATGCAGCAGATGTGTAGAGCACATTTAAGTTTAATACCACCACAATGTTGGCCAAAAAAAATACCAGCATAATGATATGAAACTACAAAATAGAAAAGAGGATTCCGACATTTTAAAATATAGGCAAAATATAGTGGGTCACCTTTGATTATGCTGTTGCATCACTCTACTCTCCATCCTCTCGGATCTGACAATTGATCCCCCATTATTCAACCTAGATAGAAAAAAGCAGAATTAAACTAAAGGCACCCCATGCAATCCTATTTTCACCTAAAATTGCAGACAAATCACTTTCCAATCACCTTTCCCTGTAAAGAACAGGGTATATCCGAGTGACTCCAACTAAAGTCCGGGGGACTGGACCCCCATCACTCTTGATGCACCTAAATGCCAAAGGAGTACCAACACCCTTACCTAAAGACATTAATTGGAAACTCATGGTTAAGGAGGCAAAAGAAATCTTGATTTAGAATTTAAATTAGCAAGACAATGTAATAATACTTACAAAATCCCAGTCGATCAGCCCAATGAGCTCTAAATGTCGCATTTATGTTCAAAACTAAACTAATTGCACTAGATGCCTGAAATTCGAGGAAAATAAAATGAAAAGACTCCAAATGACAAAGCATTTTCGAGAATTTAACTTCCTTAAAATCAGAAAGAACCTCGAGGGGTGAAACTGGCCCAACCCAGCCACACAGTCCTGCTCCCCAGATCTTCAAAAGACAAATTACTATATAAGAACGAGGTGAATTTTTCTAGAACGATCTAATTGAGAGGAGAAATTGAAACACAAACGAATTACCCGAAGTTTCTGCCCCACAAACAATTTTCCAGCAGCAAGCTGCTTTGATAGCAATACATCCAAAACAGCATTCATGGAATACCTGTAAGCCAAGGCATCTTTTTACTTCCCAAACAACTTAATGTAGCATACGCAATAAAATTGGAATTTGCTTACCACCCATCTGTTAGTTTCACCTTTACGTTACCAGTATCATCAGCTCCATTTGTTTTCACTAGATTTGTCTCCATCGCCGGCTCAGAATTTGACTGAATTGCTGAAATGCATAGTACCAACATAGTAGAAGGCGAAGCATCCCCTTCAAGCATCCTCTTTATTGCAGAACGGTGACCATGATTTACTTCCCTCTCATATCTAGAAAAATGAATCACAAATTGCTTTCATATATATCTTGTCAAACCAAAGTTCAGATGCAAACATATTACTCACTGTATTTGGTACCTGTACTTTAGTTCCTCAAGTATATTGGTTATAGTCAAAAATTTTCCAGCACATTTGGAAGGATAGCACCTCTCATAACACATAAGTTTCCAAACAATCCACTTATAGTGATTTGCGACCCACCTAGACATTTACACGAGGGGAAATGGAATGGTTTAATGCAGAAACAAAAACGTTGCTGAATGTAGATGATAAACAAAATTTAATCAATACATGGCACACGGAGCAATATATACAAGCAAAAGCCAACTAGAAATAGAGATCAGAATTGTTATTCCACAAACAATACTTGCAGGTAGCCAACTGTGAGCAAGCGACCAAACGCATCAGTTTATGCATAACTTATTTAGCACATGAAAGTCATAATAATAAGTTTCTAGTAAACATATGAAGCAGGCATGGATAAGAGAAAAAGGCAAATACTCTTTCGAAATGTATTGCGTAGAAGCTCCACAATGAGCCAACTTGTCATAAAAAGCTTCTGCCCCAATTTGACTTATGCCAGATTCTTCTTTAAACAAATACTTATCAGCATTTTCTGGTTTTATCTGTTTTTCTGGGACTGAGAAACACTCCAACTAAATCAATTCAGGAATATAAACAGGTGTCAATGATGAGAAATAAATCAATTTCTTGAAAGCAATTGACTGTATTGAGAGTATATGCACCGTGCTGCGGGCTGATGGAGGCACCGCAAAATATTCCTTCATATATACTCTTGGTACTTGAAAAGGATATTTTGTGGAAACTGTTCTTTTGCAACATGAATGGTCATCTGATGAAGTAGATAAACCTGATAAAAAGCATACATTAACAAGGAGAGTAAACAAAGATGATAAAAATAAAACAAGTTTTTAAGGCTTGATAAATTTACCATTAGCTGCAAAGGAAACATCTTTGTTCAATGGAGAAGAGAATTTGGAACAGCGGGGTCTCTTGAATGGAGAAATAAAACTTGATCTTCCGATTCTCTTCTTTTCAGTCATAATTTGTTTGCTATTTGTTTGAGATGTTGCAATGTTATTTGAAATATCAGCCAATGGCCCACCAAATGACCTTCCAAGCAAATTAGCCCGCGAATCAGAACCGCTTGGCAAAGAATTTTTAGTTATTAAATTTTTCTCAGAAGGCATATTGCTTAAAGGATTCTGTGCAGAAGGCATATTGGAGGCCGACACAAATGCACCAGAATTTCCAACTGCATCAAATTTTTCAATCAGGTTACTACCAAAACTTAAATTTTCTGAATTGAATATGGAGCTCATTTGCTTGAAAGATGATTTCAGTGGAGAAATAAATTCCTTGGATGTATCTTTGCTCTTTCTTGTTCCTTGACGGGAAAATGACGTGAAAAAATGGTTTCCCTTGTTTGATGAAGCATCATTAAATTCCTCCTCCTTACAATCTGTAAACGGTGGAACCTCTTCGTCCATTTCACCAAAGAAATTTCCTAGCTCTGGGTCACCAAGAAGACTCCTTGCACGTTTCAATGCATCACTTGAAACTGATAACGACCTTCCACCTGCAGTATGAAACTTGATTGGAGGTGGCTTGGGAACAGAATCAAACATTTTGGAACACACCGGCGTTGAGTCATTTTCACTGCCTAGTGTACTTCCTACTAAGCCATTCCAAGAGTTTAACAAGTGCCTTGATTCTGATGTAACATCCACGACCCCGGTATTTTGAAAACCTTCTTTCTTCTCTGAATGAGGACATCCTTGCCACCCACAAGATTCATTCGTTGCAGTTAACTTTCTTGAATGTTGAAAACCTTCAAAACTGTGATGCTCATTATCTTGTTCCAGTCCCAACAATGTCTTAGCTCTGACGAGACCAGCTGAAGATATGTTAACCATTTTCCCAGAGCCCGTTTGAAAAAGAGAGTTGCAGTAGCCGCCCCCATTGTTTCTGGGAACCACTTCGCCTGAGCAGCAGATAAGTCATAAAAATATATAAAAATAATAAAAGGAAAAAAAAAAAACAATGGACAGGAATAAGAGAGCTTGGTTCCACAATTTTACAATCATCTCTATTGATTAATAGTTAATACATTAAAAAATTTTAGTGGCCGATGCTCTTTGGTTCCTAAAAGGTAAAAACTGGAGAAATTATTCGAAACATAAACTCAATTCGTATATCTTTCATGATTTTGAAACATAAAAGACAAGCCCAAAACACATGGGTTTCTTTTTATTATTGCATAAAAAAATATCAACAGAAAATGCTGCAAATAAATGAATAAAAAGTTAAATACGAGTTTAAATACAAGTCATTAAAAGTTAAAAAAAAAATGAAAGTTAAAGAGAGAAGCTTTTACTTGAAGCAACGGTAGTGCCACCGTCGTCGTCGCCAAGGATAGATAATGCTTTTTCAATTGAAGACTCTTTAAACGCCACCGATTTCCCCAATCCGGTTCTAAACATCGGACATTTCTCGAATCCTCCATCACCGTTCTCAATGAGCTTCGAACATCCTGTGTTGGTTCCATAAAATTTCAAAGCAAAATAATTAAATATGCATGTGAAACCATTTAGAGATTATTACCTTGAAGCAGGAGATCGGCCATGGAAGGGAGTGGAGGAACCGGAGTGCCATTCGGATCATCGTCGGTTTTAGACGGTAGGATACGACCGGAAACCTCCCAGCGAAAATGATTTCCGGTATTGGAGAATATCTGCCACGTCGACATATTCCTGATTTTGCTTGGGTTTTCTCTTGCTGTTGCTGGTGTTCTGCTCCACTAGCTATGACATTTTGAAAATTTTCTCTTCTAGTGGAGTTTTCGATCAGGCGGGAAACTTATATGCTATATGGAGGGTAAAATTTTGGGTTTAATTGGACCAAATAAGAATATTACATTCATCTTCATTTGGGCTATTGGAGTCCATTTTATTGATGGCATTTGCCCAAATAATTGGGCTTGTATCGAGTTGTATTCGGCTCTCTGCCGGCTCATTAAGAATTTGACAAGCTCATGGATAGTATTATAATAGTATTATAATAGTAACGCAATATTATAATAATAGCTCAAGCACTGCATTACTATTGAGTATGAAACAGGTTTCAAAAAGCAACACAATCAAATCGTTAGGATCACAACGGTATTGGTTTCAGTTGTTGAAAGAAAAATTTTTAATCCAATTAAAAAATCAAATTAACAAAAAATATAATTAAACAATTAATCAATTATATAAAAAATAATAATTTAATGTGATTCAATATAATAAATTTATATTTACGAATAAAAAAATTCATCAATTATAAAAAATTATAAACATATAAATCAAATTATCAACAATTAATACCAAACAAATCAATACTCATGGATTCTTTTATTTTTTTATAGTTTTATAAAGTATTTTCAATCCAAATAAATATGTACCTATGTGACTTACTATACCTATATGAACTATCACAATCTTTTCTATTCCATCTAAACAAAATAATCAAACATACTCATGTGATTTACCATACATACGTAGACCCTTGTTACAAGCCTATGCAATTTGGTTCTGTTGATGTATTTGGACCTAGTGTTTTAATTATTAGGCTTATTATTTTACATGGTTGCAAGGCTTATGTTTAAATCAAGCCCTTTACTCTTTTATCATTGGTGAAGTAAAGAAAGTTTGTTGCTTATATCCAAGAAACTCATATACAACTATAGAAGGTCATTAAACCAACATAAAAGCAAGCTAAATGGCATTGTGGGGTATTTTACTGTGAGAAAATGTAATGAATTCTCTCTCTTCAAACTATTTCTTCCTCTTAAAAGATTCTTCTATTGTTCTTCTTCTTTTTTTCTTAATTTCTAAAAATTACATAATTGTTTTTCTTGTTTCTTTTAGAAAATTTAAGCATGCATCAATTATCAGAGCATCGATTTTGCCCATTGATTGTTACTTTTTGTATAGAGCCTATAAGTGCACAAATCATGTAATAAAGTGAAATATTCTAAGTATCATCTCTTTAGAGATTATAGAATATAGTGTTGGATATTTCAAATGTAGGAAAGGCAAAAGGCTGATATCCCATATCTAAACAAATGAATTGTTAGGGTTTTAAGGTTACAGAGTTTCAACAAAAATTAAAAGTGATGTATAGGCAGGGTTCTAAACTTCATCAACTGTCACTTGGAAAGCTAAGATTAATGCCAATCAACTAATCTTAAAGCCAAGACTTAAAAGATTATAAAATAAAGATTTAAGAGATTATATTGTAAACAATATCATAACGTATAGATCTATGGACCTATTGCTAAACATAAATTAAAGGAGTCACCACTAATCTTCTTTTATTTAGGTGCGATTGGGCACTAACTGAACCTATCCCATTTAAAGAAGAATTTCAAGATTGACTTAAGTATATTTAAATAGTAGATTCTAGTCCACAAAACTAGATCTTAGGTTCAAAAGTATAATTACGTGTGAAGAAGGTTATAGCATCCTTACAGTACCATCTAAAAGATGGTACCAACTGATTTTAAGTTATCTAACCTTTAAAACCTATTTAAAATTTATCAAATAATTTAATATTAAAAATGTTCCTTAAATTATTCTAATATGTTAATAATAATTTAAGAATATTTTCTCACATCAAGAGTATTCAATGAGACTATTTGTCACGTTTTGAAGATGCTCCGTTGTTGGATTCATTTAATTTTTGCTTTTAGAAATAAATATCTATAAACTGGCTTTGTTGTAAAAAATATCCTCCAATCTATTGGTAAGACTTTTTTTAAAAATTATCTTCCAATCTGTTAGTAAGATTTTATGCAAATTAAAATAGGAAATCTTTTATTTATTTTTTTAAAAAACTTGAATTTTTTTTTAAATTATAAGGCTCTTCAATATGTTGATAAAGTCTTATTTGTTAAAAGTATCAACCCTCTAACCTGTTGGTAAGGCTTTATTTAAATATCATTTTTTTCAAAAATTCATAAAATTATAGTGTTTTCTAATATGTTGGTAAAACCCCATTTTTTCAAAATTTTATTTTCTAATTTGTTGGCAAGGCTTTTATTTAAATATTATATTTTCTATAAAAGAAAACATATTTTTTAAAATAATAGATGAATAAATAAATCAGTGAACAATTAATATAAAAAAATATAAAAAAACAAAGATAAAAAAAATACCTAATGTCTACTCAAAAGTCAACTAAAGTATACGACTCAGCTCCTGCCACAAAAAGGGCCATAATAACTCAGCTTGGACGGCTGAATCGGCTTGGCTCAAAAGGAATCAAGTCAGAAACTGGTGTGCGGGTTTTGGGTGCAAATGTGGTAAATGCACGAATCCCAAACTTAGTAAAATGGTGCGTTTCGTCCTCTTTTAAAAGCCAACTTTCTTATTTTTGTTCTTCAGATTTCTTATATCCATTCTCTCTCTAAGGCATTTTTTCTTTGTGTCTCTCTCTATAAACTTAAAAGTACCTAAAAATCGGTTACAAATTTCCAAAACTAACCAAAACCCAAACTTCGATTGTCGGAATCTTCGAATGTTATCGGAAGCTTGAACCTTTTTGTAAAAAATTCAAGGGTTTTCTAGAAAACCCAAAAACTTTTAAACATTCGAATGAAATCTCCAAAATCTGATCAAACCCGTTCTATGAAAGCCTAAATCAAATTCACAAATTAAAGGAATAAAAATAAAGCTAAAAATTACCCCAAAAAATTCCTCTCACATCTCTGTCCAATTTTCCAGAAAATTCCAAAGAACTAAACAAAGACAAAAACCCCAAAAAAACAAATTAAGAAATGAAAACCCAGAATCCCAAATTGATTCCCAAAAAAAACCTAAATGCCAAAAATTTTTCCCTCTTTCCATCTTTACCAATTCAATTCATGCTTGAATCATGAGATTTTATTCTAATTTGTTTGGGTCAATAGTTTCCATTTGATTAAGGTTTCCAATTTCATGCATATGAGATTTCCAAACCCATTTTGCTTGATTAACGTATGTGATTTTAAGAGATTCAATTCGATTTTATTTTTTTTCCCTTTTAATTTGTTCTGGGTTTATTAAACAAAAAGTTACAGATCTAAGGAAATACAAAAACAAAATGCTTTTCAGGCTAGCCCATATCCATGATAATCATTAGGCTCAAAGCCCAAATGAAATAAAACATATTTAAGGCTAAAAGCCCAAACGAAATAAAACATATTTTAGGCTAAAAGCCCAAACAAGAACTAGGAGGTTCATTTGGAACCCGAAGAACCAATAAAATTGATTTTTGATAAATGATCCAAATAAAATTCATAATCGAGAAATTGGTAGCATGTCCCAGATGAAAATAGGTATAGTTGCCTTTATTTGCGTATTCCTATAAAACAAGAATGACGCAAAGACATAAACAGCCATTATGTCCGAGTCTGAAAAATGAAGTCAATTTAGAAAGTGAAAATAACTGAACCAAGTAAAAGTCGAAAGTAATCGAGGTGTGCCAAAAAAAAATAAAGATGATCGGGTTTGAGTCGTAAGTCAAAAAATTGAATGATCTGGACTAAAAAAAGACTGAAGATGAATGACTGGGATTGAACCACAAGTTAAAAAAATAAAATGACCTCGACCAAGCCGAGGTTAAAAATAAGTGACCGAAATCGAATCGTGGGTCTGAAAAATAAAATAACCTAGACCAAGCCAAGGTCAAAAATGAGTGACCAGAAGTAAAAAAACTAAAATGACCTAGACCAAGCCATGATCGAAAATGAGTGACTGGGATTAAACTGCATGTCGAAAAAAAATGACCTAGACTGAGCCAAGGTCAAAAATAAATGACCAAGATTGAATCACAGGTCAAAAAATTAAAATAGCCTGGACCAAGCCAAGGTTGAAAATGAATGACCAAGATTGAATCGCAGGTAAAAAAACTAAAGTAACTTGAACCGAGCTAAGGTCAAAAAAGAGTGACCGAGATTGAACCGTTGGTCAAAAAACTAAAATGACATGGATCGAGCCAAGATTGAAAATAAAAACATGCCTCGAAGTTTTACAAATCATATTAAAAGGTCTTAAAAAAATGTAGAAAATGTTCTTGAAATCACAGGTTTAAAATTTTTTCTCAAAGTCAAAATTTTGTATGTAGTAGATGATAATGCAAATGATGATGCAAATGTGACAAATGGCACTAATTATTAAAAAATGCATGCCCTATGCAAATGCAAACGAATGCCAATGCATAGATGTCACTAAATGGAATTTTGATTGTGGTACTAAGGTTCTCAAGACTCCTTCTTTTGCATCCCAAACTCTTCATATTTTCAGTGAAGAGAACAAAATCAAATCCATTCAAAACGGTACTTCATTCGTCTTTGAGAAAAACTTTCAAAACCAATGTCTTTATAAACTTTGAAGATTTCATCTTTTGCCCTCATCTTTTTCAACTCTCTCAAAGTAATATATAGTTTCTCATGACATTGTTCAATTATTAATCATTATCTCAATTTCAAAATATAATATGCAAATTATACATTTCTTCTATTTATGGTAAAACATTTAAATAGAAAGGAAAAAGGCAATGATTGAAAGTGAGACATGAATAGAATGAAATGAATATCATTTATTTGGAGAAACATATTACAAATGATGGTAATGGGAGAAGATAAAGGCATACAAAGATGGCTATTTGGGATAACAATGACCCAAGATAAATAATTAGATAATCATGACAATATATCTCAGATTTCTT